TGACGTTTCAACTTTGACTAGAATGCAACGACTTTTCTATTACATTGTCATCACAAGGATTAAAAAAATATTTCTTATATTTTTATATTTTCATTAATAATGTTCTTAAAATAAGAATGAAAAACACTGAAAGTCATGTCAACAGGTGGATCTCAGAGACTATCAGTGTTGGGCACAGTTCCCCTAAAGCACTAATAGGGGACTAATTTCTTGATTAGTGCTTTAGGGCTTTTGTTATCTTTTAAATTCATTAGTGGATTAGCACTTGCTAAATTTATGAGCTAAATTTAGAAACACCAACCGAGGTCTTTAAATGTTATTGATCAACATTATGGTTCACGGTTGAGGGTGAAAGCTGTCACACATTTTGCTCATATGCCTGCCACTTATCTACAAGGTCACGTGTCAAACTCAGGGCCCGCGGGCCAAATGTGGCCTGCAGGTGACTCCCATTTGGCCCGCCAAGGGCACTAAGTGACAACATTCTGCACACAGTAAATATTGTCTCATGTTGACTGAAGAATGTTCCACGTGTCATCTGGATTATATTAGTGCTTTAGAATTAGCTTTTGCTAAATTTTTCAATGCGTTGGAGCTTTAGAATTAGGGGACCTAAATATTTGAGTTAGTGCTTTAGGGTTAGGGGACCTAAATATTTGAGTTAGTGCTTCAGAATTAGGGGACCTAAATATTTGAGTTAGTGCTTTAGGGTTAGTGCAACTAATATTTAGATTAGTGCTGCCCACCACTGGAGACTATAAACCACAGCTTTCTGGTTTTGTTTCATTCCCCCATCTCCTTTTCTGACTTCTTCCTTAATTAATTAATTAATGTAACTTTGTTACAGAACTGATTGGGTGGTTATTAAACTTAAAAAAAATGGTGGAGTTTAGAAAGTCATCACGGATCAAAGAATTCATTGTGGTAACTTAGCTGAACAAGCTTATGCTGCAACGTGAGAAATAACCAAGTACTGACACTTAAAATCCAACCGTTTTAAATTTTTTTCTGCACATTTACCATATTTATGTGTATAATTCAAGAAATTTAACCTAAARTGTGGGCACGTTTTTGCTACATCTTGGGAACCATTTTTCAGAAAATGGCAGCCTCGTAGGGGGCGAATGTGCATCGTGGGGACCAATACCCGCTCCCCACAAGTACGGATGCCGATTTTGGGTGTGGGGTATGGTTTAGGGCCAAGAARTGAATTGAGTTTAGGTTAGTTTTAGGGTCAGGTAGGTACCTGTGAGGCTATTTTAGGGTAAATGATCAGAGTTAGGCTAAAGTTACAAGAAAATGAATGGAAGTCAATCCACATTCCCCACAGGGATATAAAAACAGACCTGTGTGTGCGTGTGTGGGGTGTCATATTACACACGGGATTAAATTTTAATTTATTTTCTAACGTACAACCACAATAAATTTTAAGATTTTCTCGTACAGAACTGAAATATTTTGTGGTGAGGGATAAATCATCACCATTTCTCCCTCCCTATAAGGATTAGATTGGTTTTTGYTTTATAAGCTCAAAAAAAGGAGGGTTGCATTATACATGGATAAATACGATAGGTGTTAACCACTTTAAAATACATTGAACTTTGGGAAGTTATGCCTCTCGTGAAAAGACGTGTGTATTCATTCAGTTCCAATGCATTGTAAGTTTTAGGCATTTTGAGGTGATATAAAACCTAACACCATGGCAATGAGGTAGTTTAAGGTCATGCAAACATAAGTCATCCAAAGACTAAACCGTCCCATTTAACAGTCGTTATATTCAGTCTACCTTCAGTCTACCTGGACTTTAAAGGGTGTGACCTCCGTGAGCTGAAACTCCTGAAACACAGATGATGACTACTTGTTCTGTGCTCGCTCCAAAACCCCAACTTTCTGTCCATTTAGGTAATAGTTTCCATTATTTATTAGTTGAGCTTGGGAGTTACCAGTAGTCCTTGCAAAACATATCAATTAAAAAAATGTATTCACATAAACAGTAACTTATTAGGTGACTGAATATGGGACMTCACATTACAGGGAATCACTAGAGATGCACCGATAAACCTGCACAGATTTCCTTAATTTTGGAAGATTGGCCAATAAGTTTGGTGGAAAAATTGGCTTCTCATCCACCTCCACAAAGGTCTGAAAATCAGCCACTGTCCCCCTTTGCTCTGCTGTGAGCAATGCTTCAAGGGTATTGTTCAATGTTTTTCAATAAAATAAGATCAGAACATTGAAGGTGTATTGTGAMCTTAAAACACCTGACAGTGTCAGCTATTTAAAATAATAATCTGTATTAGCCAAAATCTGAAAGTTCGGGTCAAGTTTTTTAAAAGTTGGTGATAGGCCAGAAAACTGCAATCAGTGCACCAGAAATCACTGTCAGAAAGTAGAACCCAAGATAAAGACTTTAAAACGGCTCAAAAATCTCCCTCTCAGATAAAACAGACAAGTTTGGATAACCATCTCTTTTTGCAACATTAGAGGCAAATCTATCACATTTTAAAAATTTAGATGGAGAACCTAAGRAGAACAATAAGACAAAAACATCAATACACCTGGCATATCTTCACAGGAAAATTACTTTTGGCTTGCATGACTTAAATGTTGTTTTTTCAAAACAGTTCAGTACYATCGCTGCCTCTTACAAAACATCACGAATGAGAACCCAGCAGAGGAAGATCCAAAAAGCTAAAAGTCAACAACATCACAAGTCTCTACATAAAAACATCTCATTRGCTTTGTCACATGAAAAACACCGGTGTATGGTGGCCCCATTACTTCTTGTTTAYCTACATAATAATGAAAAGAGCTCAAACACAAAAATCACAACGAGCACATTGTGGTATTTTTTTCCTCCCCAGAAGGCTTTAAAGTCTTTGATCCTAATGAGCTTAAAGTGCTCTCATGGGTACATCTTAAAAAACACCGAAGAGACCCATAACATCTAAAACCTTACCTACAAAGAACAGTTTTAGCACCTTTTTTTTTCAGATTGTGTACAAGCGCCACATGTAGTCACTCTTTTTTTTTTTGAAATCCCTGGCTGATTATATCAGAAACAATCAAGACAAGCAGAAGTGACACGGCACCCTGATGTAGTTTACTGCGGTGAGGCATTTGCACATTTGGAATAATGAAGTCAAGCACAGCAGACTAAACTAACAGGCTGCTTTTTCATTTGTTTTTGCCATCTGCAGGAAGAAACAGACGAGGGGGAGGACTTGCTTTTAAAAGAGACTGTGTGCTTTTTCTGTTGAACAAATTAGAGATATTCGAGAACTTTCTTTTTTTTTTTTGGTTAGTTTTTTTTTTTTTTTTTTTATTTTTTTGGATTTGGACTTGTCTCGTTTCCTCTTTGCTTAATTTGTTGGCCCTGCGTTCTCTAACAGACAAACAGGCAGCCTGGCAGAGGAATAAGCGGGTCATAAACGTATTCAGAGGCTGCTGCCGACCTTTGCGGGTGAGTCTCAGAGGTGTCTGTGGCACCCAGGCGGTTGGCATTATGTGACATTACACAACACAGAGCGAGATGCAMACAAAAGCAACGGTAGCATTTCGCCTCAAAAAAAATACGCTGAAGTTCACGCCTCGTCACTCGGAGGATGCCAAGTTGAATCGAGAAGAGGTTGGAACAAAGATTTGGTGACATTTAAAAATCAAAACCATTTTGTGGTTCTGAGCCTTAATTAAAATATCTTCATCTTGAGCGTCACAGCTTCGGCTGAGTCACCGCTGACAGCTGCACTAACACGACAATTGAATGAGCGTTTCAGCTCGTGGGCAGATCACAGCAGGGTCACACACAGCTTATGTTCTGTTACTTCAGTCGTACAACACTTCGAAGGGAGACAATTTCTTCCCTTTTTTATTTTTTTGCTGACTTCTTTTCTCAGAATTTCGACTGTGTAGACAAATGTTTGTGAGGACAAACCTCACCTTTTCTGAACCCACACGGAGCAGAGAGCAATCGGCTGCACAAGGCAGAACACAATAGCTGGGCTTCAGTCATGTGGTTTGGATGATGCACAATTTCAAAGGGAGGGCAGGAAGTAGCATGTCTATGGAGGAAACTGTTGTAGAGTCAGATTTGGATCCAGTTTCAAGACAAAGTACCAGCAACTAGTTGACAAATATGTCGGACATGACCAGTATCTCATGAAGAGGAATGAGTTTGACAGAATCGAAAGATTTGCCAACAATCGAGGTTGTCGATATCACCAACAATCTGGTGCTTCAGATGTCTTACTACACCAAGCACCAGATGAAAGCCTATAAAAGTCTGGAGGCATAGGTAGGYCCACAACTTTGGCACCAAACGACTTCAGGCTATTTATAGTTTGGTCTTAGCCAGGGTGAGCTTTCTGATATTGTTTTATACACTAAGATGCTGGCACTAACAACTAACTTTAAMAAACATRCAACACCTAACGACACAATTAGCACAAGCAGTTTACACAAATAAGCCTTTTTCCASACGTCAGATCCTACAGTACTTAACTTCTTGCCCTCTGTCTGCATTGTGACATCATTTAAAAACAACCGGTTACGATTGTCAGATATTCATACAGTTTTAGGAGTGAAAGCAGAAATTCGAGAAAAAAACTGACGTTGTCTGATTTGAGGGGTTGTATTAGGGCTCACGAAATTTATTACCTACATCAAACAGACAGGACGACCCAAAAATATATTAAAAAAATGGACCAAAAGTGAGCTCTTCAATCAGACTTGAATTGTGAACCGATAGGAGGCATGACTCTTTGAGCAGAGRGGCACCTACTCAAATATGGAAAAGGGAAGCTAGACTCAGGAGAATAAAAAACTTTAAGGACACTTGAAGAGGAGCTGTGCATCAGAAAGCCACTGATATTCATTGCAGGACCGACTCAAAGCTTTTTGCACAAACTGAGTCGAAGCACACCGACAAACATTTGGCTCGTCTTGTAGAAGAGGACAGAAGAACGAGCTAAAAGATTCAGAGTGGAGCGAATCTGTCCTACCTGTTCCACCTCTTTGAACCACCAGGCTAGTCTCGGCTCCCACAGCGCACTCCTTGAGCAGATCCACCACCTGCGTGTGTGTGAGTCCCTGAACGGGCTGCTTGTTGATCTCCACTATCAGGTCCCCCTCGAACAGACCCGGACAACCCAACGGTTCCAGGACTTGTTTGACCCGCTGGCCCGTGATACTGTCGGCGATCGTGAAGCCAAAACCATCCACGCCCTTCACCATCGCCAGAGTCAGCAGCTCCCCCTGGGTGGTGCCTGACGACGCCATGGAGATGCTGTCGGGAGGCGTGGTGCCGGTGGCGGTGGGAAGCGATCCGTCCAAGTGGGTGTCTCCTGGGTGAGTGGCGAGGAGCTGCTGCTGGGAGTTGTCCTGATTGGGATCTGCAACGAACCGCGACGAGCGGGTGAGATAATCCAGGTAGGTATCGTAATCGGTCCTGCCGTTCACCATGATGGGCCGCTGCTCCATGATGCCCAGCGGGGAGATGATTGTGGTGGTGTTGTTGGTGGTGTTGGTGGCGTCCTCCGGGTCGAACGGCAAAGGGTAGCCACGACACAAGACGAGTGTCACGCTTTGTCCGATGGGTACAGACTGGAAAAGTTTGACCACATCGGCGTGGGTGGTACCCAGGACGCAGACATCATTTATGTAGACAATGACATCACCTGAGGAGAGAACAAGGGAAACAACGGGGAGTTTAACAACTGGAACATTAAAAATAATGAGGCAAACAGAGGTGACCAGATCAAATGTTAATGTTGCAGTTAAGACAGTCATTCAAACTAACACCTGAATGTTCTATAAGTTAATTAATTAGCAGTTCCAGATGTCTTTAGATAAACTGCTGTTTCTAAAATTGGTATAAAATTTGTAGCTATTTTTTTGTTGTCACACTATTTCAGTAATTTGTCTAAAGAATATTCCATACAAAATAAGGCATTTGTTTAATAACACCTGATGGCATTCAAATCAGGTGTTCAGGTAATTGGATGTTTGCTTGTTTTGTCCTCTGAGTATCTAAAACTTGTTGTAGTTATGGTGCCAACAGATCATTGAGCTGTAGACRTGTTTTCATTGGCCATTTTTTGAAAATCATAGCCTATTTGTGTATGGTTTTCTTGGCTGCGCATATTATTTTGTTGTCCACCTCCACTCGTTTTGTATCCACCTTCCCAGCTGCTCACATGTTTACGATTACGATCATCCTTTTACCTAAGATTTACAAAGACCTCTGCTTTTCAACAGCTCAGTCATCGGCATTTTACATCTCCATCAGCTGTGAACGGTTTCTACTGATAAACATCACCGCATATAAGGTCTTATCTGCCTTTCATGTGTAAAAAAGAGCAGATGACAAGTGGCTAGAAAGTTTACCTTTTATGGGTTTCAAGTGCTTTTTATTTGTCCGCTACAGGTAGATAAAATCTAGCACACAAATAAATGTTCTCCACATGAAAGAGCTCCATGCCTTTTACTAAATATAGTGTTTTACGCTTCACTGTGGAGGGATGAAGCAGGCCTGGGTGGTGACTAAAGTCGAACATACAGCTTTATGTGGTCCGACGGGGAAAACATTCATTTTCTAATTGGAGACAAATTGCCAAGCTCTTTGAAATTGGATTAAAAAGTTACATTCGTGCCTAAGTGATTGGAAAGCCCCACCAATCAAACACCCTTAAAACTCAGACTGTAACAGAATTAATAGTAAGATCAATTTAACTTTCTCTTAACAGGAAAGGATAAGGCGAAATTGGGCTGGATTTATTTTGCATCGACTGCTAAARAGCACCACGAAAGGTGAAGCCGTCTACTCGATGTGATTGGGAGTTAAGATATCATCTAAGCTCTTGTGCAGACGAACCGTTTTCCAAGTTTCAACGCTCCGCTGGCATCGATGTGCCTCGAGGTGACACAACGTGAGGGACTTTTTAATTAATCAGAGTAAACGTGGCCGACATTTGCCTTGAGTGTTCGAGTCAGAATCAATAGTTTGAACACACTGGCTGAAAACAAATGGTGGCGCTGTGACGTCACTGCTCTCTGCTTTGAAGGAGTTTGGGACCAGAAAGGGAAATGCAACAACGGAGTCATTAAAAAAAAAATGAAACGCTATCAGACAAAAGCACTAAGAAGGACGAGAAGGAAGATGTGAATAAAATGATCCAAAATGAGCASAAATGGTCCCAAACAGGTGTGGATAAAAGGGAAAGGCATCAACATGGAGAACAAAATACTAAAAACACACAAACCAGTCCACTTCTCTGTCCATTAAAACATTTTCTACAGGTTTTTGTGTCGGTTTCCTGTCACACTGACCTCAGCTGTGTACAGCACGGTCCCAGCTGAGGCAACTTTAATCATCCCAATTATCTTCCCCCCGTCTAATTGTGCGTTCGGGAGTGAGTCAGCGTAATGAGAGATCTCCGTGTCCCTGCTGAGATGACGAGGCCATGATGACGACGGTTAAGACTCTCAGCAGGGTGCAGGCTTTCTGTAGGGATTGGCTTTATTGTGCATGTTTGGAAAGTGTCTTTTTAACATGGTGACTTGTCAAAAGTTCATTACATCCACTTTGCAGACATTGTTTGTTTAAATGAGGCAAGTGGTTTGCAAAGCTTTAATTGCATTGAGCTCGTACACCATAAGGCAGCATCACMCTAATAGCTAATTTTAGTAGCGGAATAGTCATCTAGCATTAACCAATGATGGTTAGTCCTCATGGTAACGTGATTTTTTTGTTGTTTTTCAAGGCAAAAATGTCCCGTTTTAGCTACTTTGATGCCTGTCTTTCCATCCTCTGAGGTAAAGTTTCTGTGGTGATGGCAGAATGATGACCAGTTCCATCCACAGGGTGCAATGTTTTAATGATATCCACAAAACTAAGACGCTTACCAACAGCTTAGCCACATCATTAAAGCACAAGCAGATCTGACCATCATCATTATCAATTCCAYCTGCTTTAAAGCATTTTGAACTCAAAGACAAATGAAGATAAAACWGATTTAGGTCATTTTGGTTTTCTCATTCAGTTTCTACAATTTTACACTTAAAGCTTGACAGCTAACCTGTGATTTTAATCAGTCTTTCAAATGTTTYATAGTACGGGGGTCCTAATTATCATACAAGTGGGCCAAAACTCAAAATTTGGCCCAAGCCAAGGGCAATTTCCATCAATATTTTTTGAAAATATGYTATATACCAAATTATTTTTATAGAAAGGCAAGATTTTCAAAAATCTGTTTTATTTAGAACATGCATAACCCAGTGGATAAGGGAAATAAAGATTAAATTTAGAAGGACTTGTTATTAGCATACATTTCTTGGATTTTACACTTGTCCTAAATGCACAAAAGAATATTACCGCAGATCATTCCTCCCATCCGCTGTTAGACTCTATAACCATCACCGCTCCCAACAATCTTGATAAGCATCCAAGTTTGTGTTTGCACGCCAAACAACTCTACCTCTCAATCATTACATAAATAATAACCAGTGGCAACTGTACATCGTTTGTTCGGTACTGGAACACTGACTTAATGACTGAGTTCGACTCAATTTGCACACCCCCTCGGATCATGAGTCCGTCATGACTGTTTTTTCCAGTAATTTCATATTTATCTGCACAGTATCTTGCTTTATTTTCATTTTTATCTAATTTCATCGTGATAGTCCAGTAAAGTAATTATTATTCTTATTTTTATTTTGATCTGTGTTTATTTTTCATTGTTACTATCTTTGATTCTATTATTAGGGCTGCCACAAACGATTATTTTAATAATCGATTAGTCGTCGATTAATCGATTAATCGTGGCAGCCCTATCTATTATTATTGCTACAGTTGATAATGTCACATAGCAACATACTGTTTCCTGTGGACTGATGTATCTGCTGCTACCACACCTGGATTTCCCCGCGCAGGACAATTAAGGCTGTTTTATTCTTCTGTTCTATTATACCTTAGAGATACATTTTATCACAATCCAGCAAATCAAGTAAAAAAAAGAAAAGAAAACCCTCACTCCAATTAATTGACTTTAACATAAAGAACACCGCAAAATACAATAAAAGTCAATTATCTGTTACTCTTTTCACATTTCAAACTTAATTTTCTTGGTTTGAAAGTTGGCCACTGTCATGAGTTAAATGCACCAAATGCAGAAACCATAAAACTGTTTCACATTTCAAGTATTACCTTTTGTGCTGAGTATGTGTGTTAATGAGGGGCAGATTTGATTCGCCAGCTTTGAGTTTGACACGTTTTAGAGGCTATCTGTGGAAACATGACCTAAACGTGTGAACAATATGAATTTGATGCACTTTGTGCTAAATGTTATTACCGTGGTAAAAAAAAAAAATACATCTGTTTTGTGCATGAACTCAAACTCTGGTAAAAATGCCAGTCTTATCCAAACAGAACAGACTCTGCAGTGGGAGGAGGCAGTTCAGCAGAAAGCCCCTCTGGTGCTGAATGAGAGTTAAAGCAATTAGGCTTCCCAGTTTGAAGCCAGTTGTACCAACAGACCCACTAATTTCACTTTAAAGACTGCTTCTAGCTCTAAAACAGAGTCTCTCAATGTCAAGCAAAGACAAATTATTGCTCTAGATTCTGCAAAAACTGAAAAATATCAAGGCTAGCATTTCTATTTGATGAGTTTTTTTTACCTTTTGCCCTTAAAAATAATTTGTTGCAGATATAAAATCTAAACAAAGCCCTTCCTGACTGTGTAAAATGAAATAAAAGACCACTAACAAGAGATCAGGTGGAGAAAAAGACAAAAAAAAAAAAAACATGAATCTGAAAGTGGGAATTTCACACCCCTTCCAGGTCTGAGTTCCCTCTGTGTGATCTTTGAGTAACTGTGAACGTGACGGCTCTGCTGCTGCAGAAGTAGGACACAAAGTCTAAGGAGGCAAACTGTGGCTGGTGAGACGGAGATGAAGACGAGTTGACGGGAGAATGAGACGGAATCATGCAAAGTTATTTTTGGGATGAAAAATACATAAAACAAGAGAGGGGATTTCTGTAATGAAACAGGAGAACAGGCAGAGACGACACAAAGCAGAATGGTTTAGAAGCCGACAGGCTTTATTAGTCAACGAGGGATTTATTTTTAGCTGGTGCTCTAATGCATTTATAAAAAAATAATAATAATAAGAGGACATTTATGTCCCAATGTTATTAAATAAATCTGCCAAACTATGTAAGAGAAATTTCAAGTTTTAAAGAGAAGCTAAAAAAAAACTCACTTATCAGCTTTTTACATTTTTTATAAACAGCTTTTGTGATAAATAACCACCGTACAGTTATTTCCTGCACTATATACCGATAGACACATCAGTGCAGCTACTTTTCTTCCCCTGACCTTTTAGTGCAGATGGATTGTCTCAAAGTGTGTGTGTGTGTGTGTGTTTGTGTGTTTGTGTGGGAGACAATGTGCTCCAGTTCCACCCCCAAGTGGCCGCAGTCAGGAGTTATGGGGCTCATAAAGTCCACTCCATGATTAATGGGAGAAGAAAGATGCACAGTTGGTGCACAGGTATGTGCATATTTTACACTCGGAGCTTAAACCACGCAGACATGCGAGTTACTCCAACAAACATGTCTGAGTGGAGTGTTTCACAGTGATAAATTGAGAAGCTGCAGAACAATCTGTATTTTGGGGACATCTGACGTGATTATTTAAAATTAAATCCCATATATGTTTGTGCTTCATAATCCCTCACATTTATATGGATTGTTAGGTTAATTATTTTTAATCATTATTATAATGCGGTGCAGAGAAAACCCCTAATCTGATTATTTTTATCTCCGTACAAAAATTCTGACCTCTTTATTTAAGAACATCCAGATTTTATTCACCAGTTTTATGTTACCATTTTAATCCATGTGTGGTTCATTCTTTGGTTTTTCTGTTTCAAAATAAAATCGCAACAAGAAAACCGTGATTTTTTTGTTCTTCCCATTTTAGTTTGTAAAATCAAAATAATTAAAAAAAACTGTGTTTGATTGTTTCTTCAACTATCTAAATCCAAAATAAAATATACAGTTGTTTTAATATGTAACGTAAATGACACAAGTCATCAAGTAATAAGAGTTTATAGTGGCTGGAAGACTGCAACCGAACTCTGTTTTGCATAACTTGGATTATTAAAGATCATCAGATCTCAGTACTCATTTTTCCATCTAATTTTAATAAAAATATTGAGCAAACTTTTAAAATGTTGCGAAATGGAGTGGGGTGGAAAGCAAATCCGGTGTGTTTCCATCTACTAGCTTAAGTGAATCAACCTGACTAAGCATTTTTTCAATTGTCCTTTTTCTGATTTCTGACATATATATATA